GTTGTTCCATTGCTAAATTCACCCACAATCCGTCATGGTCAATTATCCTGTCTACTTTTCAATGTGTGGGGGAAAATACAAGGAGGAAAATTTCTCTCTCAAAAATCTAAGTGCCGAAAACTAAGTTACGAAGGCTTTGTAACAGAAAAAAAAAATAATGAAAATAAATTACTCACTCACAAGAAAGAAAAATCACTCCATGTGACCACGTTGTGACCTAACACCTGGGCAATATGTGGCCTGGGTTCATTTTTTTACCCGTACCCCACCTACAAACTCCAGGAGTGAGACGGACAGGGATGACAGGTTGAGACTTGTCCCTGAGGCCGAACGAGAATCGCCCGGGGAGCTCCTCTGGTCTCGTCCCCACGCTCCACCCGCTTCCCCAGGCCGCGACACCCCTTCTCCTCCACCCACCTCCTCCTCCTCACCTCTTTACCATGGCTCACGCGCTTCCCATCACTCCGTCTGCTCCTGTCTCCGCGCCTCCCTCCCTTTCGGTTTTATTTTAACTTCCCACGGGTGGGGAGCGGAGGGCACGGTCAAGGATGCCAGCAGGCAAGTGCACCGCCACGTCCTCGTCCGTACCCAACGCCGGCCTTGCTAGGGTCGCTCCTAATCACCGCGCGCCTCGCGTTAGGACCCCCAGACGTCGGACAGACCCACACACTCTGAGAGGAAGGAATGGGTGGAGCGGACGCCGGCTTACACGTCAGCCGCCCGCAGCGGCGCCAACGTCGGCACGTCGGCACGTCGGTTCTCCCCGCCTCACCCCCCGCCTGCGTGCGCGCGCCGCCATCCCGCCTCCTGTCCGCAGGACTCGGAGGAGGTATGCGGAAGGGCGGGACCGGAGGCGAGGATGAGCCCTCAGGACGTGTGGGCGCGCAAGTGCGCGTTCCCGGAGACTCAGTGGTGTGGTGGATGCCCGCGCTGGGCCTCGCCGCCATCTCCGGCTGTCTACCCGTTGAGTCTTCCCTTGCATTTACTTCAGTCGTTCGCGTCTTTTCCCCGTACTTCTCCGTAAGGTGAATATGTGAAGGAAATAATTCCTAGTAAAGGTAAAAGAGAGGAGCAGTATGAATGAAGAACTGGATAATTGCTGTCGTCAACATCAGTCAGAGCCCTCTGGCTCTTGGACACTTTAGACACAGTTCTTTGGTCTCAAGTCCTGCTTTCCTTAAGCTTTCTAGATTCGCAGCTTAGTGTTTACGAAGTTATGTCTACCGGTCTGTCCCTTGGTCGGAGGAGCTCCACCAAAAACGGAAAGCCACAAGATTGCTTAACTCAATTGAAAAGACGGAAGATATTAAGAAAAACTAACTAACAAAGAATTGTGTGGTGTATGTGTGTAGAGTTCTGGGTAAAAGCCAAGGATGCAAAGATGATATGAATGCGTTGTGGCTCTCCTCTTCTATCCCCGCCCCTTCCTCACAAGGTAATGTGTCCCGATGCCTGGTAGAACTGTGTTTCGTAGAGAGGCAGCCAATAGTGATCCAATTGTGTTCTTCACTGGCTAGACTACATCTGAAGTGCTGTGTTCAGCTCTTTAAAAAGACCTCAATCAAGTTGAGATTATTTCAGCAAAGAGCAAAACGATAAAGAGAACCCAAAAGCAGGAGAAGTGCAGAAATATTGATCAAAGCTGTGAAGATTTGCCTAGAAGAGAGAAAACTATTAGACTGTCTCTATATGTGAAGAGACCCATCATGTGAAGTAGATTTGTTTCATGTCATGCAAACTATTGGGAAGCAGGTTCCAGGTCCTGAAAAGAAGATCCCTTTCTAGGACTAGCCAAAGGATAACTCAATACACTGATTTGACATCAAGTAGATTCTGAATGGTCACTAGGGACTTGGTACAGGGGATCTACACATCAAGAGAAGAATTGATGGCTGTGTTAAAGTTATTTCCAGCCTTGAGATTCCATGAGTCTATGGTCCTGGCCTTCAAAGAGTTTACAAGTTAGTTTATGAGACAAGACAGATGCATCAAAAAATAAATAATGCAGGGAGGCCACATGGTAACGAGAGGTGTTAACAATAAATGCTAGGAATTCATGTGACAGATTGTTCCCATCAGAGTTCCAAAAGCTTAAGGGAGAACAAAGAAATTGAAAATATACTGCCTATAACTGCCATATGCAGTAGGGTAGCCACTAGCCAAATGTGGCTGTTGATACTTAAAATGTGGTTTGCCCAACTTGAAATAGGAAGTAAGTTCAAAATACATACCAGATAAACAGACTTAGAAAACAAATGTAAAATATCATAATTCTCTTGTTGATTACATGTTGAAATAATATTTGGCATATGTTGGGTCAATAAAATTATTAAAATTAATTTTGACTGTTTACTTTTAATATGACTTCTACAAAATTTAAAATTACATAGGCGGCTTGTATCGTATTTCTATTAGACAGTCCTTGCCTAGAAAGAAATA